AGAGGGACTAGCTTCACCAAGGTCAGAAAGGATCTCCGTGTCCCCGAATGTTCCCATTGCTCTGAAGAGCGGATAAGCAAATGCAACCACTGACATACATGACCAATAGTAAGGTTTAAAGTCAAATGATGCTTCTATGAGGTTACCTGCTGGGCTCCAATTAGAGACCCTTTAATGTGCAAACTATACGTGATGTCATTTGGGGTAGAAGACCTTCTGCCCTTCCTGGTTATGGCCGAACACAGCTTTGGAATGGCTGAAGTGCAAAGGCACTCAGCCCCCTGTGTTCCCTGTTTTAAATGCATTAAACAGATAGTCATCTAACTGGTTGGACTCCGACTGTGTGTTTCCAGTTTGGCAACGGGAGTATGCAGGCAGATCTGTGCATCACCCGGGCCTTGAAGCCCAACCTGCTCCAGCCCTCTTCCCCCACCGCATCCATCCCTCCCGCTGGCCCCATTCTCCCTGCAGGCTCATCTCCAAGGCGAGAAGGAACGGATCCAGTCCCCCCGACTCTGTCGTGCAGCTCTCAAGAGGCGAGAGATCCAGCTCAGCCCCTAGAACAATACCTCCCCCACAAGTTGCCACTTTTTACCAACTCCCCATGGAAAGAGAGCCAAAATACAGAGATGTATTTATTCTATATGCGGTTCATAAGCAGGAGCGATCCAACATCCTACTCGGGAAGCCCAAAGTGGGGGCATCGGAACCAGTGCCACCTACTCTGATCCCGCTGTGCTTGAGATTTTGCCTGTAACAATGGAGCAGCATAGTGGCCTCTACCGAGGCGGGCTGGAAGCACCGAAGAGAAGCAGACTCCTAGGAGAGCCATCTGCAGGAATGGAGCCAGGAGCTGGGCCGCTTGACCCGCACCAGAACACTCCTGAGTGGCACAGTGGTTGGGAGGGAACAAAGACCGCCTGCAGAGGAAAACACCCCCCCCCCGGGTCTTTCCTGTGCGTTCCGGCTTGTGTCAGTGCTGGGGGGGGGCACATGGGCCAAACTCTGCACCCAGCAGGAGCCCCCAGGGGGAGTTCTTGCCAGGAGCATTGCGACAAAGCTCCCAGCATTCCTCAGGAGTGTCCCGGGCCTCTTTGAAGGTGTAGTGTGTAAACATATTTTTGAAAGCGATTCTAAAACAGGAATCCAACCCCCACGGAAGAGTTGTGGGTTGGTCCCACTGCGGAGTCAAACTTGGACTACAATGGGGTGCCCCTGGAAAGGGAGCAACACCACCAGCCTCACCCCAGACACAAGGAAAGGGGAGATGCGTGTTGTTGTTATTGCTTTTAGGACAGTTCATGAATGGTCTTTTTGGGGAGGGGCCGCTCCACCCACTTGCTGGCTGGGGGGGGGGCAATACGAAGGCCGTCGGGGCAGGAGAATGGCTCGCCTCAGACTGCTGCTGCCCCCCCCATGGTTGGCCTCACCCCCCCGCCAGCTCCCGCCAGCGCCCCTTCAAGTCCACACGGCGGTGGGGATCATGCCCTCTTTGCTGCTGAGGGCAGGCAGGAGAGACTCCTCGGCCAGGAAGTCCAGGGGGAACTGGACCAGGTGTCCCCGCACCTCTTGCAGGTGTTCACGGGCGAGGTCGGGGCTGACAGCAGCCAGGTTCTTCACGCTGGCGTAATCCCGCAGAGCCCGGAGGGACCGCACGGCGTTGCTGGGGAGGCAGCGGAAAACCTGCCGGCCGGAGATGGGAGAGAAAGGGGAATAAAACCACCATTGGGGGCAGCACAGGAAAGCGAAGAATTCAGGTGACCCCCCCCAACTGCTCAGCACGGGGGGGGGGGAGGCACAGGCGAACACCCTCACAGCACAGCTCAGAGTGACGTCTCCCCCCCTCCCCCCAAGGTCTGGAGCGGGTGGTCCTTGGAGAAGCCACCAGCTGCACAGAATGGGACCCCTTGAAAGAAGAAGAAGAGATTGGATTTACACCCCACCCTTCACTCCCCAAAGGAGTCTCAGAGTGGCTTACAGACTCCTTTCCCTTCCCCTCCCCACAACAGACACCCTGTGAGGGGTAGGTGGGGCTGAGAGAGCTCTGAGAGAAGCTGCTCTTTTTCAAGGACAGCTCTTATCAGAACTACGGCCCAAGGTCATCCAGCAGCTGCGCGTGGAGGAGTGGGGAATCAAACCCAGCTTTCCCAGATCAGAGTCCACGCAATCCTCAGTGGGACCCCCCCGTCTGGTAGAACTGAAGAGGAGTTGAGTCACACCCCCTGAGGATTCCCAAAAGGCAAGTGATGCTCCTGGGATTCTGGAGCAACCAAAACGGAGCAGCCTCTTCAGGGAGGGGTGGGTCTGGCCCCTCTCGCCTTCTGATCTTTGGGGGGCAGCTGAAGACTGTTCCATTTGGGACTTCCCGTTTGATTACGTTCACTCGCGGTCACAGTCCTGAGTTGTAATTTTAAATTCTGGTTTTTGTGTTTTTAATGTATGTTATTTTAATGTGTTTTATCTATGTTGCAAGCTGCCTGGAGCTCCAAAGGATGAATGCTTCAAATAAATAAATAAATAATAAAAACTTGGGATTTCATGCTTCTGCAACGGACCCATGACGAGGGGGCACCCGGTTCTGGCCTCACAGTGATTCCTGCAGGGTGTTGGAATTACTGCCTCCCTGCCCTCCCGCCAAGCTGTCCTTTTAATCTGCAGGGATGAAAGGTTGTCGAGTAAAGTGGGGGCTGGAGGATGCGTGGCCGGTGTCCCCGAATGCCCTCATCGTGCAGGTTCTTGCATACCTGGTCATACAGATTGGCGTTGCTGACGGCTGTGGCTTGCCAGACCTCATGGAAGAAGTGATCGCTGATGGGATCTTGAATGTTGACACCAAGGTCAGAGGTCACACCCAAAACACACCTGTCGTTAAGCCAGACAAAGACGGGTGACTGCCCAGAAATAGTGGCGGGCAGAAGTGGCATTTCCGTGTCCCAGTTCCTGCACCCCAATTTTCTCCCCCAAAGCTTGGAGCAAGTGCGCAGGCCTCCCCCCAAAAGGACAGGTTTCTTGTCGTGGAAGGAAAGATGACGAGGGGAGGCGAAACACAGGTCAGAGTTACAAAACAGAGAGCGCGTGAACTTCACGCGGAGGGTGGAAATCTGGGCCGCTCTGGCACGTAGCCATGGATGGGCCCCTCCAGAAGATTCAACAGGTTAATGGTGGAGAGATCCCTCCCTGGACGCTACTAGTCTTGATGACGAAAGGGAACCTCCACGCGCAGAGGTGGAATCCCAGAGCTGGGAGGCAACGGGGAGGGGGAAGGCCTCAGCTTCTAAACTCTGTTTGTTGGCCCTCCAGGCCGCTGGTGGGCTGCTGCGTGGACCAGGCCGTGGGACTGGGTGGAGGGGCCGTTGGGATCCGAAACCGTTTTTCTTGTGACGACCGGCAGCAAGTTCAGAAAAACGGGGAGGGGGAAGGCCTCAGCTTCTAAGCTCTGTTTGTTGGCCCTTCAGGCCGCTGGTGGGCTGCTGTGTGGACCAGGCCGTGGGAAGGGCAGGAGTCCTGAAACCCCTCCTGGGGGAAATTCCCCTCCCCTCCCCAGGCCCCCCCCCGGCTCTCACCTGAAGCAGTCCAGGCGCAGGCTCAGGGCAAACTTCCCCGCCTGGTACTCCTGCCCGCCCATGACAGACGCCACCCACTCCGTGTCTTCCACCAGGACGGCCAGCTCGCTGTCCCGCTCGCCCAGCAGGCTCCGGTCATTGATGTTGGCTGACCCTAATGGCGGAAAGGGGACGGTGGCAGTGCTGGAGGCCGGCGGGAGCCGCAGCCCCCAGCGGCGGTGTTGGGGCCCAGTGGAGTGGAGGGAGGGTGACCCCTCGCCTGTGTCATTCCTCACCGATTATGGCCCACCGGTCATCCACAATGAGCAGCTTGCTGTGGATGTAGACCAGCTCCGTGGTCAGCTGCCCGTGCAGCTGCCCGTGCGTCCGCAGCCCACAGAAAGAGACGTGGTTCTTCCAGTCCTCCCCCACTGTTTTGGTGCCGGGGGGGGGAGAGAAACAGAAGGGGGAGCATGTCAGCAGGGGGCCCTTCCCCACATAATCTGAGCGGCCCCAGAACTCCGTGCGGAACGGAGGAGGGGTTGGGGGGGTGCCTTGCCCCACCTGCCTGGCATGGGGAACATTCTCCCCCCCCCCCATGCTTACTGACGGCCTCCAGGCGACTGACGATGGAAGCGTCCCCGCGAGACAGGGTCCTGCAAAGCGGAGGGGGAACGGGTCAGTCCGGCTTCTTTGCCCAGGGCCCTGCAGACGGCAGTGCCCCAGCCCGCCCGCGCCACCGACCTCCCCGCCCGCCCAAGCAACGGAGAGGTGCGTCAGCAGGAGTCCCTCCCCAGTTTCGGGGACTCATCCAGCCTCTGAGGTTTCACGGAGCCTGGGACTGAGCGGTGTGCCTGCGCCACCTCCCGCTGGGTCCATGGGGGGGGGGCTGCAGGGAGCGAAGCGACAGCCATTGCCCAGCCTCCCCCCCCCCGTGTTTGGAGCGGCCTTGTTCCCTTCCCCCCTTCCCACGCTTATCTCCCCCCCCAGCCCAAACCTCACCGGTAGGTGAAGTGCAAGATCGCTTGGATGGAATTGCCCCCCCCTCGGGCAATGTCCCCCTCGAACCCGGGCAGGAGGGGGAGCAAGACGTACACTCGGAATGGCTTCTTCTCTCTGTGGGGAGTTAAATGGACGGGGGTCAGGATGCCCGGCCTGTGTGGCCGACCCAGAGGGTTCACAGAGAAAAGTCTCCATTGCTCCCCAGATGGACAGGGATGCCCGTGAGCATGCGCAGAGAGCGTGTGCCCTTATAGGGTTTAAGAAGGAGCCCCGGCTAACCAAGACACTAATTTGTGTGTTATTTTCAGTGCCGTGCTTCAGACGTGAGGCAAGATGCAGTGGCCAGTCCAGCAGCCAGTGTCAAGAAGCTGACTGCCACTAGCCATGGAGGCTCCACCTGGCTGTGCTTGTCGGCAGCAGCTCCCACAGGAACCTCTCCAGTCCCTTTCTTCTAAAGCCAGCTGTGCTGGCAACTGCCACCCCCTTGTGTCAAGAAGCCCCCCCAGCCCCCCCGAGTTTCCCATCCACCCATTCACTTGGCCAGCTTCCTCATAACAACAGCTGGAATGGGGAGACCTGGAAGGCAGGGTGCAGAGCTGAACACGATAGTGCCACTGAGAATGCGCAGAGTGGCTTCCCCTCGCTAGGAAGACATCCCAGCCAAGCCGGACTGACGGTCAAGGTCAGCCCCCGGGAATGCCGGACCGACTGACCTGTGAGCACGCAGCACTCGGTTGATGACGGCGTCTCCCACCGTGTTGTACACATTGCGCCTGTCTGCACAGCTGATGAAGAACTGGTTCTAGGAAGGGGAGGGGGGTCAAGTGGGAGAGAGTGTGTGAGCCACCCACACCACCGGCACGCCCCCTGCCCCAAATCGGGCTCACCTGGGATCTTTCGCCTCAGGGCCTAGGGGAAGCACGATGCCGTAGCAATAGCCAAGAGACCCTCCGAGCACATGCAGAGCGCTTTCCTTGCACCACTACGCAAGCCGTAGCCTCCCCCCTCCTCACACACCTGCCGGCCCCCTACCTCAATGTACAGGTAATGCTGGCTTCCCTCAATGACACTCAGGTAGGCCTGGTGGATGGATGACTCGTTGAGGCCGGCTGACCAGCGATCCACGGAACGCAGCACCTGAGGAGGAGGAGGGGGGCACAGGCGGTAGGTGCTCGCTTGTCTTCAGCCACGCTCCCAGTCCTCAGGGCCCCAGAGGTGAGCACAGAGTCCCTCGGGCCGTTTCTGGGGAATCCGGTGGACAGGGAGCAGGGATGGACGAGGGGCTGGGGAGGGCGGCCTCACCGTGGCTCCCCTCTCCTCCCCCACCCCATTCCCCAAAACTCCTGCATCCTTTGGGAACTGGGACCAGAGGAGACTGTGCAAAGCGACTGCCGGGCCTGCCCTCCCGAGATCCCCCTACACCCCCTCCCTCATTCCAATGCACTTAAATGAAATATCTTGGGTCACGCTGTTCACTGACTTATGATCCGCTCCGGGGGGGGGGAAGGGGGGTGGCTCGGGCCCAGCGGTGCTGGCAGAGCTTGCTCGAATAGGGGCCAGGCAAGGCCCGAGGCATTGTGTGTGCCTACACCACCCCTGGTCACGGGGGCGGAGCCCGAGCTGAATGCACCGGCCAGCACTGCAGGGCCCATCAGGCAGGCTCAGCTCACGCGTGGACGCCTTTCAGCCCTCCGGGGCAGCACCCCCGGCAGGATCTTCCCTGGAAACCTCCCAACAGGCCCCAGCCTCATCAGCAGAGTCTGAGTGTGGAGGGGGTGTGGTGGTGGGTGCTCCGGATGTTCCCAGAAAAAACAAGGAACCGAGTCATTAAGCTCCACCCCCCCAATGGGCCCCCTTCCTCCCCCCACCCTCACCTGGAAACTGGCGCTCTCCGCACCCGGCACAAGGAAGGTGAGGGGCGGGGGC